TAACGAGATAGGAGTTAACATGCTGCCGCAGATTTAACAGTAAATGCCTTTCCTGCGCCCCTGGAACGTTCTGGAACTGGTTTGGGACCGGCAATATGCTTGACCTCATGTCCAGCTCGGCAGCAAACGGTTCGGACCGCAGAGACCGAATCCGCGGTTAGAAACTCAACAGCCTGCATCTATCTTACTGCCATATAAACAAACACCGCGTTTCTGAGCCCAAATGTAAACCAGGTAACGAAGAGTATCCATCAAACTCAGCCATGAGGGCTTGGAACTCTTTCTTCATTGTGAGACGGGATACTTTAGCTCTTGAGAACGATCAAGAGCCCCGGCTTCTGATCTGTGCGAGGCTGAATATGCTGGTGGTCCCTCGTCAACAACCAGCTCACGGCTATCATCGTTGAGAACGAGAAAATGCATGGACCCGCGACCAGAATGAAAGCATTTCTTCAAGACTATTAAGTGTTTCAGAATGAAAGGCAATCGTTCCTCTTCGCTTGAGCACTAGTAGAGTAGAACAGGAGGTGGCATATTGGTTCCTAAAAGTATGCTCGGTGCTCCTGTGGCTTGATATCTCGGTAAGCCATGCCCGTAGCTTCTAGTATCAGCAGTATAAGTGCGGTCTTTCCTCGCACAGTTTTCCTGGAGACCGCATGTCCAGTTATCAACGACATGAAGGCCCATATCCGCGGGGAGCTCAAATACAGCGAGAACTACACTCCGGCTTGCCCAGCCTTGCAAGCACAGAGACAAACCATCAGCACACACTGTTTGATTCGTTTCCCAGCCGGTTTATGCTACCATCATGAGCCTTCAGCTTGACCTTGAAGAACCCCGTGTTTTCTCGCGTCTGAAATGCGACCTTACTAACAACTCGCTCGCTGCCATTTGGGTAGATCAGCTCGAGGACGAGGGTACGACGATGCAATCATCGCCATGCAGCTTACTCACGGTCTCGGGTTACCACCCTGGAACAACATCCGCCCATTTTTCGTGTGTGCCATGTAAATGATATCGAGTCTTTAACTTCTTATGGCCGTACAGACTTTCATAATGTCCGGGGCGGTAGATGTCGATCGCCTTGAAATATTAGTTTCTGAGTAACTATGTAGATATGAAGACGATGATGCTAAGTTAATTGCTTCCTCGTCCTATAGTTCTATACTTCAAATTTTGCTTTGAAGAGACTCAGATATCATGACTGCTGCTGCGGCCTAGATTCACAAGAACGATTGGCATGAAGAGGGATGTCTGAAGTTGATGATGGACTTGATGGTATATATTACTTGACCGAAGAATCCACCTAATATACATGAGCCTCGCGCTTTTGTAAATACGCAATATACCACTGGCTGCGTTTTAAAAATGCCCTGGAAACGTCGGCCCTGGTCTCCGAACAATCGCATTGAGAACCCTGATCTTAGCAGCCCACAACGCGCCAATCTATACCGAGCTTTCTGTCGGCAACTGTTCCTGAATCTCAAGGCCATGCCTATCACTCAAATTTGGCCACAACGGCCCTTGCCTGAGGATTCGCTTGGAACCTTTATGATTGGGATTGCTCTTCAAGGCGTAGTTCGCCTTTCTCAGTCCAATAGCCGTGAACGTCATGGGCCCCTGGCCAATTTGAGATATTTGAAACTGATATTCCCAGTTCATTGTAGTCTCCGCAGAGCTTGAAAGCAGAGGGCTTCACTAGGCCGATCACGCTTCTTTGTGCCATATATTATAGGACTGGCGGGGTTCTTGTCCGTGGTGGATAAGGTTCGTTGATACTTGAATGGTCTTTGTGGATGTATGGAACTGGTGTCGCAGTAGCATAGTATGCTGTGTGGTTGTGGCATATATTTATGCTAAGCTGTCAGGAACGACTTTCTCATGTCATCGTGGCGGCGAGAGTTATTTATCCCGGCCGTGGGGCTCCTAGCCTGAAGTGAATATCAGTGTTGAATATAGATTGATGGTGGCATATAATCATTAAACCATTTTGCACAAGCTCTCTTTGAAGCTGTGAGCCTTGAGTCAGGGTCTGTACTGCATTCCGGTTATCTTGGCCTTTCCTTCTGATGGCCTGGTTGCTGGACGGTTATGTTGCGATATAGGTAAATCTCTCGAAGAGACAGCTTTGGAGCAAATAATGACTGATGTGTGGGTGGGAAATTGATGGATGTTTATTCTCGGGTAGGTTTATGATTAAGATTCTGGCGCTACGAGCTGGGAAATTGCGTGTTGTTGCTTAGAGCCGGATTTCATATGCTTGGATTGCAGATGCAAATAAAGGGTAGCACCTGAAATGCTGACTTTAAAGAACAGCAATAGCCAGGCTGAATTGAGGTAAACCACCGAATTTGTCAAAGTCTGGTAAAATTCATCGCTAATCTTTTAGTATTCACCTAAGAAGTCTCCAGTTCACTCCATTTATATTAAGCTAAGGTTAAGATCTAAAACTTGGGGATCTAATCTCTAAAAAGGCATATACCAATCAGAGGAATCTCGAATGCTTAAAGGGGAAATTGGATCTCATTGCAACGAGATAAAAAGTGAACTAAGGATGAATTTAATCTCAAGGGAGATGGCGATAGGATTGTCAAGGGACGTTAGCCTGAGCCGTATTTCGCTGTCCGCAGTCAGTGTCCCAGGTCTACAGTTAGCAGGGCATTAACTCTCATGGAAGTCAACGCGGGGTTCGAGGCTTGCCCAAGTCCAGTACCGATTTGGAAGATGTCAGTAACGGTTTCAGCCAATCGAACAGTACTGTCAGCTTGTCGGACAGATGACGACGCATCGCTGCCTTCACCTCTACCACCAACTGCTTTGTCTTCTCTCACCTCTTTCCACGATACCAGTTTCCGACACAATTAAGCCCCAGTTGCCATCCCCCTCCGTCTAGGATATCAGCGGCCAGTTCGGTGCGCCTCCGATAACGCGCCTGGGGCTTTCGGACCCGTTGCATGCGACCGACCGAAGTAAAACACAAAAGCCACGGGCTCGTTGGGCAAACTTTCAAGCTAGCAAGAGAACAGATCTTGCCCACTTGATGGATCACAAATGCCAACTTGCAAGCACCTCATCTTCCCAGACGACGAGCTGATCGGGCTTTGTCAAGCAAGAATCCAGACCAAGTCAACGAGATTGATTCCCTTGCTCAGCTCGCCACCTTCTGCACATCTCGGCGCAATTCGATTGGTTGAGTCTCACATGCCATCGAAAGCGCCTGGAAGCCTTCAACATTCTCTGCCTCTCTCAATCACAACCAGACTTGACACACAGAAAGGATGGGCTGTCGGCGACAGGAGCTAGCTGCTCGAGTCTTGGAAAGGTACTCGGCATCCTAGGCTCCCTCGTCCCGACTTTCTTCCCGGTGCGATCGAAATCCTCAAGCCAAGTTTGCTCCATTCTGAAGATATCTGCCCCCAATGTTACCATGGAGGCTAATCATTTATCTTGAACGTGGTGGCATCATCCGAGGGATATTATAGCTATGTCCACATGACTTCTCATCACAATCAATACCTCCCAGGACCTTTCTTGACACGTCATATTGTGGACATGTTTTCAATCAGGTGAACCTCCCTGTTGCTCCAATACCTACCCGTCTTCTAGCCTCCATGCTAGAATACGAATGTACTAGACACGGTCAATGATCTCCTCCAGACCCCATTTCCGACACATACGCACAACTCCGATCAGCGCTTCGCTTCATCGCCAAGTCCAGACGCGCACAATATTTCCACGAGCGATCTACAACCATTGTCATATATGACGATGGCCCATCACCGAAAGGGTTGGGGCTGCGAAGCCTCAACCAAGTTCAAGATCTTGAGCTGCGACATGTAAGCCCCTCGACTTTCAAGCTTTGATCAGCAGTGATGATAAAGAGGGGGACTTCAAAGACGCGATAGAACTCAAGAGCATAAGAAGAGGACAAGCCTACAGGTACGGGGAATCCCAACAACACTGGAGAAGAGATTGCTGAGTAGCTTCAGCGCGCTTAGTCAGCGTCGCCATCACAAGCACAATTGTGCCCTCGATCTTGACAGTAGTGGTCAATCCCAAGCTGTTCCCCTCAAGTAGGATTTACTCTTCTTGGAAAATGTCGGCCAAAGGTTCCCAGCCGCTACTATCTTGCAAGGAACCATTGAAGTTCCATGGAACATTTACATCCCTGATCTAAACGACCACGAACTACAGCCATATGCTGTTGCCGCCGGCAAGGACCTTACAAGCATAAGATACCAAACCCTTCGATCCACTATAACATAGAGTTGCAGTCGAGTGGCACTTTCAGAAGATTGGTCTGGCGTCTGGTTTTCAGAGAGACTCTGCAGTAGTCGTTGCTAGTAGTTGCATCTGGACCCTCTTCATCACCGTACCCGGGAACAGGGTGAGAACACTGGTGAAGATGCTTGGGGCATGAAGTAGGTCGTCTGGGCTATGTCGGATGGTCCATTTGATGTTGGGACAGGCCTGAAACTAGCCGAATCTCATGGCGTCATGTCCATCGCCGTACTGCTTGCTTGATGATATGATTGGTCTAGGGGCCGGCCAGGTTACCTTCCACCGGTGTTTCGTCTTCGCTCTTTGGTCCTGATTAGTTTTCTCGTCACTCAGACCAAGCCTATAATCTGATCACGCCCCAGACTCAGAGCATGAACCTTCGTCCGCAATGCAAAGGCCGTTTGTGAGGATCGCTCCCGCTGGCTGGGCATACGCACTGGCATACATACCCCCATGCACTATCCCATGAAGAGGCAGCCCGACAGCTGCAGGCTCACCCATGGACTTGTATAGTTGGACCATGGGGCGTCCATCGTCATCGGTCTCCGGCTATGGACGTGCCTCTTCCATGTCTCATCTCTAAAGAGACTCAAGGCTCGGGCTCATTTCCATCAGTCTCGCAGTCATCAAGGTCACTATGATCCCTGTACTCTGGGACGCTGGTATAGGTGGTGACTGTATGCGAGGCTGGGTCGAAATCTAGACCGCTGTTGCTGATGCCTGGCTGCCTTTCTGTTGCGGAGGGCGCATAGTGCTCGGTGGAGGTGCCTCAGAATCAGTCACAGAAGTTGAAGGACCCTATCTGGCGGTACATGAATCCCCAACTCCCTACTCCCTTCATGCTGGGATGGCGCACGCTCCGACCTCGGCAAACAAGACAGAATATCCTCCCTGACAGAATCAGTCATTGCGGGCTCATTTTCCCTCGGTCGAAAGCTTCACATCCTTCCTTCATCGAACTCAAAAAGCACCATTGCCCATACCTCAACCAGGTGACGAAGGAGTATCTGACCGACATTGCCACAAACACGCAGACCACGATTAAGCTCCTGGCTAGCCATTCTGTAGGCAATGTGAATGTCAACAAAGCTGATGAGGCAACCCTCGATAACCATGATATGGCTCATGGGAAGATCAGCATATCGGCCAAGGCCTGTGACTCAACGGATGGCGACTGCTTCATCATGATCGTGAGGCTTGAGGAAGATCTGCCCGTAGATGACTATCCGACCAACAAACTCCTGCAGGTATTCCGACCAGCAGCGTGTTCCTGGTGAAGCCTCATGCAAGGCCTAGGATACGGTTGCACGTCTCATCACCGGCAGTTGACGATGCTCTGGTTCAATGAACTGTCTTGAACCCGCGGATGTACGGCAAGGAGTCTCCCTCTCTAACAGTCCGATCCACGAGTTGAACACCGACACTACACGTTCATCTGCTAGTGGCATATTATAAGACTATCTACAAACGACTTGATGGCAATCACCAGGCTGATCGACTTGATGCTCACAACGGCCAAGATATTGGGAAGCCACAGCAACTCAATGCCGAAGTTCCTGGACATCCGCATCCTGAACGTCACCAAGAGTGTCAATGGCCATACCAGCTCTCTGGAGATGTAATTGGACTATGATTTCCTCTATTACATCAGTCAAAATAATTGTCTTCACTTTCTCATCACTTCTCTTCTCCATCCCCTTGTGCCAAAGCAACAACTACGAGAGGGTTCCCATCTCAGCGACATTCAACACATTGGTGATCACACCAGTGATTCTTGCTGACACCAGTGCTCTCAGACTCGAAGTCCCCGGCAAGCTGACAAGGCCACTGTCGCCCTGCTTGTACTTGTACTTGACTAAGGCTGGCATTCTATTTTGGTCTCCAGCGTCAGAAGAGCAGAGAGGACGCTTCCCTTCGCCACCTTGTCGAAGATTATGGTGTCACTCCCCCTCTTGATCTTTAACAATTTTAAGGTATTGGTCATCGCCAAACTTCTGCTCTTCACGTATCTCACCAGTGGTTGAGTATTCCTCTCGACCGTCCTCATATCTTATCATGCCATTCAGAACGGCCTCCTCGCATCGCCACCACGGATATATACGCCCTCGTAGTCACTGTCACGATGACATCTATGGACCATATGATATGCTCTACTTCAGCATTTCACTAGCATCTGGGGGGGCCAACCTGCGTCTTCTGGTCCGAAGCTTTACCATTTCATCCGACGAACACCTGCTGATGTAGCTCTGCAAGTGCTCCATAAAGGGCCCATATAAGTGGTTGTCGTCCAGTATGGTCGCGCCATCATAGTCTCCCAGCTTCGGCTGGCTATCCTCATACCTGGCATTACCGGTAATGAAAATGGTATGTTAAGCGCCGAATCCATGAGCAGAACTGCTACAACTGCACTAGTTATGACCTTTAATTGGTAGTATACCGAGTTCCTGCTATATCAGAGATTATTGGTGGTGACAACGACGGTATCGGGTGCGCCCTAAGTATGCCACTAGACGGGGGTTGCATTGACTGTCCATCCCGACAATCCCCTCATTCAAGATATCCTACAATCAGTGCCCCAAGCCCACCTATATTTGCATGCTAGTGCAGATATTCAACGGAGACATAAAGACCAAGCTCGTACTGAAGAAGCCCGCGACCATAGAGGTGATAGAGTATATCAGGGGAGACAAGTCTATCTCAAGCACTTTAGGGAAGTCTACGTACTGTAAGCCCTTGATGACGAATGGCGGACTACATCTCGCGACAAAACTGGGCGGCAACAAACGAAGAGTTGCGAGTTCTAAGATTCAGGTTGCCGGTTAAAAGGCGTCAATTATGTACTCAGAGATCGTTATTTAAGTGCACATATGCGATGCTATCCGTGCCAATGTATGACTTGAGACTCACAGGGGTTGATGAGATGTTTGGTTGGGTGCATTGTGATTGATCGGTTTGCTGCAGCATCGTTCCCCACCGTGGAGATCATGTAGTAGGAGGAATGAATTAATAACTAACCCTCTGTCTTTATAGAGTTGGTCCTGCTTAACAAAATGATTATCCAATCTCGGAAGAGGACTCTAGAGTGCAGGGTAAGCTTTATAAGGAACCCAAGCAGCTTACAGTTACCAAGAATACTGTTGCTCCCCGGAATCGGGTTGCTGGTTCGGGACTTGTGGGGCCGGGACCTGGTAACCTAGATCAATGTCCGTTGCCTTAGCCGTAAATTCCTGGAGACAACTGCTCTTCGCCTGGGATGCTAGCTTCTATCAGGCTATTATTTCTTCATTTATCTCTCTAATCCTCAAGCTAGCAACAATCGCTCCGTCGTTGATTCCCTTTATGTAACCTCGTGTCAAGTTCCACGCAAATTGCATCAAACGTGAAGATAACTCTCGTTGCAAACTGTGACATGACTGTTAGTTGAAGTGGAGCATATATTATCAAAATAATAACCTGAACTAGAGTCAATCATCAATGAAAAGGTTAGTAAATTCTTACATATATTAAAGAAGAAAGAAAACGGGAAACAAGCGCAGAAGAAACAACGTAGGGGAAGCGAATGAGTCAAATATAAGCCCCATAGTGACAATTAGGTAGCGAGACTATTGAGTCTTTCCCGGCATCGTCCTCGACCACCAAAATAACCTTCTCCAACGCGCAATGACAACCGTCAACAGAATCAACAGAACTCGATGCAATAACATTAGGTGCCCAGCTCTCTATACTAATGAGAACCCTGCTTTTTCCTTTGTTTTCTACTTCTTTTCTTTTATTTTTCTCTCTCAAATACTTAATGCTGGTTACAGAGCTGCCTAGTACTGTGATGAGTAAAAGTGAGGGTATTTATCGCTGGAGCAACCCAGGTGTCCACCAGAGGAGCAATAAATCTTCGCGAAAAATTAAAAGAGCACGGCTCTGTAGTAATAAAGAAAATGCATAGTTATTAAAACCAGGTCATATTAGGATAGAATAAAGTCATCTCAAGGTGTCAGTACTGCAGATTACATTGCCATTGCCTGGAACTTTTTGTTTCTGACGTTTAACTTCGGACTGGCTTAGTTACCTTCACGTAGTAATCGTCGTTATCTCCTGTGAGCAAGTACTATGTCTTATTCGGGCAATTATATGACCACAATATGAGGATAAGCGCTAAATTACTATCTTTCACTGTGAAAATCGCAGGGCAAGCCGCCCGATCAACATGATACTCTGTCGTTAGGGTCTAAACCTTCTACATGTATAAGTCTAGTGACTCCTTAATTGAGCTGCGGTTTCGGACACGATCTGCTGAATCGAAGCCGACCACCTATTGACATAGCGCTCTCCCGTATTATACGGCCGTTCGAAATGCCATCAACCATGTACATGGCCGAAAATCTTCTCCAAAGCCTTCACGTGGTTCCTCCTGAGAGTACCTCAACTAAGGAAACATTTCTCTACCTCAGGGGTCTCACATACGAGCCTCAGGTGATCTCTGTATGTGCTGGTCCCAATAGCTTACGCCTCAGATGCTTCTGTGAGTCCCTATCTACATATACCTACATGCTTACTGGTACCGCTTGTCACGCAACTACTACGGCGTGGGCTGTACCTGCCGTAGAGAAGGCTGTGCGCACAGAGTCCAAACCTGCATTTCCAGAACACCAGGAGGAACCAACGTCAAGATCAAATTTCCATGGACTTTACTCTTGCCCTCGGCTCCCAAGGTCATCACCTGCCAGAAACAGCACTCCTCCGGCACGCAAATAGCTATATCCATTGACTTGAAGGTCCATGACATGTCTGCGTACCTTTACCATGAACTACAATCCGCCGTGTAAGGGGTGTGATATGCCTGATGATCAATTGCTAGGCGCGCCTGACTGGTCAGGTATTGGAGGATTTGATGCCGGGTGCAATGGTGCGGATTATCTCTCACGAGCTCATGAGAGGACAGTGGTGGGCGAGGCTAACGGTAGAGTAATAGGCACGGCGTAAGGTATTATAGTTGTAAAAATTACACCCTTCTACCACATACGACCATACCTACCAGAAAATACGGGATCCCGTCCGCTCTCCCATAGTCAAGCTGGTAAGGGGCGGATTAGTAGTTGGGTCGGTGACGACCAGCGAATCCCCGCTGTTGTATGTCGTGAGCCTTCTTTTTGGATTTTGGGCGTTTTTCGCCCCGTAGCCTTCGGTCGAATCATCCCAATGGATCAATTGTGCACCATAGAGGCAGTAAACACATGTCAAGCCGCTTCAAAATTTCCCAGTAATTCAGTTATATCTTTTTTTTTTTTTTTTTTTTTTTTTTTTTTCAGTAATAAGGTTATTTTCCTTAATTATTAATAATTGGGACTACTAGTATATGCTAATTATTATACGCCTCCTCCTTTCCATTTGAACTTCGACCAGGTTATATGTTAATGAGTAGAACAACGTAGTAGCTACTTCATCCAGGTACAATTTCGAATTATCTTTCGCAGTCTTTGGATCTTTTTTTGACAAGCAGGAGCAACGATTATGCGCCCTGCATGGCGGAAGATTGGATTATTAGCCGAAAAGGATAAAGATAGTTAACGCAGATACACTCTCTGAGAGCTCTGGGGTATGATTCCATCATAAGGAACAATTAATCGACATTTGCGAGGGTTTTCTCGATGATTTATTCAGTGCAAAATTCCTTGGCTTATAATGTGTGCGTTGACAACAGCAGACGCAATCCTGATAAAGACTGAAATGTCACTGAGATTCTCCAGTACCCCTATCTCCATCCATCATTATGTCCAGTGCGAGATCGCGGAGAGGCTCTAAATTCAAAAGATCCCTCTCGGCAATCGTAAAACCTCAAACCTGAATGTGCTATACCAGCCAGTGAGTAGCAGTTAGTAAACGGTAAATTGGTGGCCACTGCAAGCATTGGCCACGCCTTTTCTCCAAGGCTGGAACTAGTGTATCTGCTACCGATACTCGTTTATCCAGACCTAATTATTGTTTATCACCCTCCACCTTAACAAAAGGGTCTTCTCACAAGTCCTTCTTCTGAGCCATACGGAAGTTCTGACAGACGGGATTTAGAACGGTCTCCGTTTGGATCCCCTTGAGCTTAAAGTATTGACGCCTTCGCCTCGTCAACGGCGGTACCGGAGAATGATGCCATTCATGATTGTAATCACTCCGAGTGGATCATGAGGATCGATTACAAGAGACTGCAACCCATCCGATCAAAGGGATCATTGCATTGAGATATATCTCTAAAGGTAAAATATTGACGCTGTCTTGAAGTCAATCAATGAGTGACTTCGTAGTATCAAGGCGTCGAGCTTTGACATGTTGGTGAGAATCCTGGTGTGACTGCCTTGTCCTGTATAAATAGTTCTCGTTGAGCAATATTAGAACAGCCTCGCCTGAACTCGAGTCTCTTGATGATAGACCCAAGTATAATGCGAATGATGGAGCAATGCTCGCCTTGTATTCTCCAAAGACAGCGCCTGTACTCTGAATGTGGCCAAACATCTCCGGGAGCTTATTTTCCCACGAAGCGGTGAGGTCTAATTCAGTGTGGTCTCAGCATGTCACTGGCGATAAATATGACAGAACGTAGATTCGCTGGCCCCTGACATGAGCGGTTTACGACTCGATGGCAAGAGTATTGATGTCGTCTCTTTGATGCTCCTTGGTGATCGCAATGTAAGCAGGGCACGATGTCTTGTATAATAACTATTTCTGTCAGTTATGCACCTGTTAAGAATTCACATCGAATGCTGAGGTGTACTGAGAAGCCATGCCATCGGTGTTGATGCGTGGCTGTGCTTAGTTGGAGTTGTAGCGGATGAGACAGCACATACCTGTGCTTCAAGATACAAGCCACGATTGACCGACACGACGTTCCCGCGATCTTTTTGAAGACGGCCTTCGCGATGTCGAAAGCATCCAGACGCCTGACCCGGTAGATCGGTGCCCAGTATACAAGCATAGGTGCCAGTGATAATACTATCACAATGTGGAGATCAGCCGCTTCAACTAATCGAAATGATGGGTTTGGGTCGCCAAATAAAACTTACAATTGAGCTCCTTGGCGTTGATTCACCAGGCTTACGATTGAGAAGGCCAGTTGTAAGTGAAGCCGGTGACTAAACAGCGTACCGGGCCGCAGACGGCCTGTATGGTAGCCTTGAGCCAGCATGGGTTTTGGCTTGGTGGGATCAAGCGCGAGCTTCAATAGCTTCGTGGGCATCATCGGGATATCTCTGTTGTGTAAATGTTCTTGTTCTCGGTGTGTTTCCTGAAGGCATCTATTGTCTTTGTCAGTAGTAGATGTCGCCGCTTCATCAGCATGTATACCTCGGATAGCCCCGTGTATGAACGTTGGTTTATATGCTTCGGCCTTGTCGGACCCTTTGTCTCTTTCTCGGCGGTCTTTCGTTCATGCTTAACCGCTTCCGGCTGGTGCTTTTGGCTTGTGGTTATTCGGACGTGGGCTGGACGCTCTCGGTTGCTGTGATGCGATAGTCCTGATTGAGCAGCTGGAACGTGACGGGTCTATAATAGGACGTATGGCCAATCGGCACTACATGCTCGATCCATCCTAGGGGCAGCGGCGCCAGAGCGGCTGCTGCTGGTGTTTGTGTCGACTTTAGCATCTCGTTCCCTTAACATCGTTTTGTTACGTTGTAAGTACCAACAGATCAGCTAATTGCTGTCAGTAATTGAGATTTATGTTGGAACAAGTGAAGGAGCTGTTGGACTGTCGACGGTGGACAGATTTTCCGAAATTGTTTTTAGAGGTCACCAGCTTCTTCTAAACAAAAACCGACGGATTCGTCACTTACATCAAGCTTAGTGCTATCGACTTTACGCATAGAAGCACTGCAGAAATTCTTAATGCGCATTTTCAACTCATCGCAGAAGCGCGTAGTTGTCAAGGGAATGAAGTATAAGCAGGTGTACTGTCGTAATGAGTTTGTGGGGAGGCGTACAAAGCGAAGTCCAGGTCCCGGATGCCGAATGCGGGGTTCAGGGTAGCAGGCCTGTCAAATCTAGAATAGCCGCCTTTCACCCAGCACATCACTTCTAAAGGTAGATGGCAGATAACGCAGCAAAGTCAAGTAGGACGAAAGTCTAAATAAGGCTAAACATAAGCAAAACGCTAAGGGTACCTCTATGGAACATAAAAAACACCAAATCTGCCAGTTGGTTTCCGAACAAACGTATAGACAATGGGAAACCTCGTTACAGCGACGGCTGTTAATCAAGTGACAAAGGAGCATATTGCATTAAATCCGCAGACTAAGATCCAACACCTGTCAAGTCGACTTTCAGTCTACATGAACTCAGACAAAGCTCATGAAGCAACTCTGGGACCAAGATGCCGACTACGGGGACATAAGCATGCCGGCGAAGCACTACGTTTCAACGGAAGACATCTACCTCGTGATGCCCATCAGTCTCAAGAACAATCTGTCTGCATATGACCGTCAAATCACCAAGCTCCTGTAGATATCCCGATCGACAACATTTTCCTGATGGAAGCGCACCGAAGTTCCGCAATGCATGTGTACGTCCCATCACTAATCGTCGAAGTTGACCGTGTGAAACCCGCGGAAAGAGGACAGAGGAGTCTCCTGTACCAAGAGTTCTTATTGTGGCTTGTGGAAAACGCCAGACTTACCACCATGAAGAAGCTCCAACAGTTCGATCGGTGAGTTGAACACCGGCACTGTATGCTCACCTACTCGTCTGTGGGCAGGATATCAAGAGACTATGTATAGTCCAAGTGGACGGCTTGATGGCCCAACAATGAAAAGGCAAGATTAGGACTGCCGGGTGATCTCTTCTCTTTTCATGTGTTAGCCAAGCCGAGTTAAGATCCGGCGCAATAAATCACAAGTAGAAACCGAAGGTGCCTCGATAGACCATGAAAAGAATGTCATCTTTGAAGTCGGATTTGGCCATGTATTTATTAGTGGGAGGATATTTCGATTGGACATCTGGGACTTTCGGGCTTTTGACTTTCGGACTTGAAGCGAGTGTTCCTGAGCGCCTTGCCTTCTTGGTCAACATCCGTCTGTTTGGCCTTGTCATTTCGCTGCGACAACTTTCCGGTTTTGGACTATCGCAGGGTTTAGCAGGAGAAGGAATGTCGCCATCATCACAGCTAAAGCCCAACGTGAGAGTTCTCATTACAATTAGGAGAGGGCATGGAACCTCTGATGAGACAATAAAACCTTCACCACCCTCGCCTTCTTCCAAGGTGCCACTACTATCGCCATATAAGTCATTGGCCTTCTTGTCCGATCTTCCTGAACAGTGACGCAACCATGGGGTTCACTACCGCATGCAAGTACAAGCGCGGGGTGGCAACCTGATAAGACAAAACGATGGAGGTGTTTCTCTTATATAATCCAAACCTGAAGCTTCTCGCCTTAGGTCCGAATCATGTTCCTCTCTGCGGGTTGAAGCCGTCCTGATTTCGTATCCCGGAACGTCGGCAAGTGACGGACTTCTTGGTTCAAGTGCTGTTGATCGGTCTGTTTCACATCAGCGTCCGAGTTGGCGGACTGAGGCGACTGGTGGATGTATATGTGCGTAGCAGTCAATTATGCCCTTCGAAACACGTATATCGGTGATTGTTTCCAGTCTTTGCCACTCTCAAGATTGGAGTGACTGAAATACGTCAAGACAACGAAATCATGATCTCAAAGATTAATATCTGTCCCAGTCATGCTTTATCCATCTCAAACCACATACAAGTTTGTTTGACTGAAAGAAATAACTCGAATTATTATCTGAGCAACAAGTAAGGTGCGCATCCGCCTTCCTGTTTGTCCAATGTAATGAACTATTAGCTCGCAATCACAATTTCCTATCACAAGCCTTAAAGCCTACCTGATATTCTTTAAGGAAAGAAGCTAGACCAGGCTTTGTTCTTAGTACTGAGGAAAGATTTTGTATTTGGTAGTGCGAGTAACAGGCATGAATTAGAACAAAGAATTATTGTTCCTTCAGTTTGAATATTGAGGTGAATTAAGCTTTGTCTTGCAAGCCGTGTTTGTGCTCGCCTAGAATTTCTCTTGCTTTATTCCACTTACTTTGAATGGATTGAAGCATTCCTTTGCAGCCTTGGGATTGTATTGTGAATAATGCTCTGTTTATCATTGAATGAAACCAAGGTAAGTATAAGTATATGCCCTACCTTAATGTTCTCTTTCAATCTTCACAACCTGACATCCTCTCCAGATCCTTAAAAACTACTCCGAACCAAGTTGACTCTCAACAACCATGCCTCGTTACTTGAATCCTCAAATCATGTCATCGCGAAGATCTACGGAGGTTGGCCTGGAGGATTTGAACGGTAATACCGAGCCAGGCAAGCCCGTAAAAATAGCTATATGATATTATGCTAGTTTATCCTAGAAGACGTAACCGAGGACCAAGCTCAGTCTGGAGCTATTCGCCGTCGCGGAGATCCTATTGACCCGACCTTTTACCTCGAGGGCGAAGAACCGACTATTCGCATCATTCAACAAGAGGGCACCCGCCCTCAAGAACCTGGGCAAATGGGCGAAGTTGATAGACTATTCTATCTGCTTATTGCGTCGCTTGTTATGAACTTCGCCATGCTTGTTGTTTTCATGATCCGCAGTGGCAACTGAATATGTCACGGGCCTACGACTTGGTTGATAGTTGTGTAGATTGCAGGACTAACTATATTTTACAGCAAATGGTGGTGGAAAGAATACAGAGATCTCTAGGCATGGAGGAAGGGTGTTGCCGATTGGACCAGCGTCATGGTATCCTTATCCTCAGGGGTTTAATTATGTAGTTGACAGCAACTCAAGAGGCACATTTGAAGCTGCATTAGTTAATATGGAGTGCCAGAACTGGATGCCTTCTACAATGGGATTGAGTCTTATTGAACAAACTTCTTTATACTTTTCACCTAGCCTCGTCCTCAAATTGAGGAATGCCTATCCCAGTGTCCAGCAGCCAAGAACTAGCATTAAAGTGGTTGCATGAACGAGGGCACTTGTTTCCATGGTGGAACCCGTCTTGTTATACAGGTGCCAAAGTCGGCAACCGCAGAGCTAACCGAACAGTACAGCGCATCGTATTTGGCTCCTGTCTGGTTGTAGCTTGCCGGGTTTGAGATTATCGTCTCCTGCTGTTCTTACGAGTGTGTTCTTCTTTAGCGTGATGTAGTCGGCCTCTCGGCGCGATTTGTCATAGTAGCTTATGTTTGAGTATATCCCGGTATAGGTATGTTGATCGATACTGTGCTCGGCGTTATTGATTCTGTTGGCTGCCTTGGTTTAGAAGCGAAGCTGTGCGGAGAGTATACCTTTATGTATCATCAGTAAGAACTCGCAGTAGCAGGGACATTTACATAACTAATATATTCGATGACCTCGATAATGTCGTGAAGTTCTACAAGTCCAACCTCTGAATGGAGGATGCCACGGAGCCAAATACGATCAGAATGTGCCAACCAAAGTCTGAACAACAAGGAACGCTCATAATTAGCCAGCTTGAATAAGATCACGACGTGTCCACGGATTCTCGAAGCCCTATAGGCCAGGCTCCAACGCAAGGACGGTTTCGAACACTATGGAGTAGAACTGATCATACAGTCCAGGTCACCCTCAACCTTATTCTTAGTACTGCCACCATGCGCTCCAATAGCGAATGATAAAGAGGCATTCTCTGACGACGTTGATTACGCTTTTATTACAACACATCAGTATATAACTCCCTGCAAGCAGTTGTAAGACTTCTCTTTTGTCCGCACCGTGCCACTGGGGTGCCTCAGAGGTGCCAAGGGGTTCCAGGTTACGAGCTTTAATTGACAAGAGCTTCTTCTATATAGATGTCAACTACGGTGTCTAGAAATATCTACCCGTTGGCTCGAGCCGAGGGGGGGCCACTAAGCAAGCTTAGTTGGGCACAAAAGTGCGGGACACGCACAAAAGTGAGGGACAACCCCGCTCGGCCGGCTGTCGTGAATTTCATTGATTTTGTATGTAAAATCAACATAAATCTAGACACCAATCAGTGAAAAAGGCAGTAATCTTATCTAAGTGCATTATGCATACCGATCCAAATATAAGAGCTGCTCAAGCAGTCGTTTCTTCGCGCCAACGACTCCAAAAGAGCCTCTCTCGTGATGCTTCTAATAAGCCGAAGAAGCCTCTTTCAATCCGCGATGCTCAGAGTCAGTATAAAGGCTCTAACAAGTCGTCTATTGCGCGTCTTGTTAAGAAGCTTGAAGATGCTAAAACCACGGATTTTAGCAGCATTCCTGATGCAATTATGGGCCGGCCGCGACTCCTTTTAGATGATGAAGAAGAGGCTATTGTATGCTTCATTATTTGGATGCAGAAGTCTGGTCTTCCGGCCGCCAAGAACGAGATTGAAGATGCAGCAGATACGATAAGAAGGCGCCGTGATCCTAATGCTCCTCCGGTCTCGCGGATGTGGTACAGGCGCTTCCGGGACGACCATCCCGAGCTTGATATCTCGATTTTAAAGTCGAAAGAAGCGGCTCGCTATGAGTATAAAGAAGCCGGCGTGGAGGAGACAAAGCAGTGGTTCAAACGACTCTCTGAAGTCATCACCAGATACAGGATCAGCGCCTCAGAGTGTTGGAATGCTAATCAAGCCGGAATTAGAGTCGGGATACTGCAAGAGCGGGTGCAGTGCCTTGTTATACGTACCAAAAAGAAGACTCCAACCGAGGTATTCTCGCCTGAAGATAGGGAGACTTATACGGTGATCGGTACGGGCAACGCTGCAGGAGCAACTACTCCTCCTTGGCTTATCTTTAAAGTTTTTCCAACGATCGAGTGGGCAGATATTGACGGCGATCCTGATATGCGCTTTGCACAGTCGGAAACAGCGTTCTCTAATGCCGAGATAACGCTTGAGTAGGCGAAGCACTTTAACCGGTGGTCTTGGGGGAAATCTGCTACCGTACAACATCGTCAGCTGGAATTTGAAGAGTGGTTTGGGTGTAACGAGCACCTAAAAAGCGATTCTAACCCTCTCACTCCATATGACACGCCTCCGGGCACGGAAGGAAAGTCAGAAGAAGAGCTTGTATGGCGGTTGCTCGTTATCGACGGCTTCTCCGGTCACGGCTCCTTTGCCTTTCGAGAATACTGTATAAAATTCAATATCCTCATTGCTTTCCTTCTTCCTCATTCAACTCACATACTTCAACCAATGGATCTCGGCGTTTTTCAGTGGTTAAAGAATGCACACCAAAAAAGGCTGCGAGAGGCTTTACGGAAGGGAAAGTTAACGTTCAACCGGCGTGACTTTGCGGGCTCCTTCAAGGTAGGTGTTAGCAGCTTGCATCTTCTCCAAAATACCCCTCTTTTCACATACTAATCCTCATAATATCAGGAGATCTTCGAAGAAGGCTTCACGGCAGCCCACATCATCACAGGCTTCGAAAAGTCAGGAGTTTTCCCGCCGACCGAGGTGCCTGCAGTCAGTTATCTGCTGAAGAAGAAGCTGAAGACTCGTAAGGCCATCGATCCGGCCTTATCCTCACTCCTCCCGGCGGAAAATCGCTTCCCTCTAGCTTCTGACGTGGCGAGCGATGTCCGTAACCGCTATCACGATATTCTAAGCTCCCCAACGCGCCAGGGACTTGAAGCTGTACAGAAGATCGTCAGCGAAGCTATTGTGCTTGAGGATATCGTGAGGAAGCACGTTGATGATCGCCGAGAGCGTATTAAGAAGAGATACCATCAGAGAAAGCGCGGAAAGCGAGGAAAACCGGTAGGAGATTATTTTCATAATATAAGCTTGCAAGAGCTTCGTGATCAGCAGGCTGAATTTATTGATGTAGGAGCAAAAGCTGAACAGAAATCTCAGCTTCGGAATCTTCGATCTTTTGCAATCCGGCAGATGGAGGAGATAAAAGCCGAATGGCGGAAGAAGAAGGAAGTTATCGTTGACGGCGTTGAAAAGAAGCTGCGCTTTAAGCAGTGGCTTGAACATACTAAAAGGGATGTAGAATATGCATCTCTCGATGCCTCACGAGCTCAGATATCCTCTCAATTAAAGGAAAAGGAAGATTTCTATACGATCGATACCCAGCTTGCCCCGGAAGTCCGTGAGGCTATTCGCGAGGCCGGCTTCGCAGCAAAACCCCTCTCGGCAGTAGATTTATCAGGGCTTCTCAACAGCGATGATTCCGTTGATTTCCACCTTACACAACCGCCGGCCGATGCCGCGTTTAATGATGAAGATAGCCTCATCGATTTATCTGATGAAGAGGAAGTCGCGATGCCCTCATCGCCGCCTTGCTTACCCGACTACGAGTCTCCCTTTCCAACGGTACCCTCAACACCATGCCCGGCTCAACACCAAGCCCAATTTCGCGATGCCCTCATCAATCTCATTGAGGAAGAAAGAGCTGCTACAGAAGCCAGTCTTAGGCTAGAAGAAGAACAGGAAGGCTCCTAATTTACAAGAGAAAGCGTTCTCAATTAAGCAGATAGCTTGCTGCCACAGCAGCTATTTCCCTTCTTCAGATACAGTCAATAGCAGATATATTATCACGAGAAGCTTCCTTTTCACAATACAGCAATTTCCCCTCTTTTGACGCCTTTATGAATGAGGAAATATTGAAAATGCCGCAAAACACACCAAAAATCAGGCCTTCTGGATGTCCCTCACTTTTGTGCGTGTCCCGCACTTTTGTGCCCAACTAAGCTTGCTTAGTGGCCCCCCCTCGGCTCGAGCCAACGGGTATTGCACTGTGACTTACCCGAGATCCGCAAGGTCACAAATACAGTCAAACTGTCGCTGTGGCCCGTGCTAGCCCGCGACCGTAGACGCTCGCCAATTCCTAAAGTTGATTGACACTAAGGACCAAGACCATCATTTTCACCCGTAAATGGCCTCTTAAGGTTGTTCGCTCAAATCTAAACAGTGAGATCCGTTGGAAGCTTGCATGACATGGGGAATTTTACTTCCCTAGCTCCCATGGAAATAAGACTGCCCGACACTAATTGCAAACAATCAACAGCAAGACAGAATTTAGCCTGCAATTGCCCGCTCTATCCGTAAAGCTCGTTGGTGGTTATATCACCCCGGCTGATTGTATGTCGGAGCAGTCATGGAATTATGACGCCATTAATCAGATGCAAAGACAAACAATCTGGAGATACTTCCTGGCGAGCGGGATGAGTTGGCAGGTGGACTTAGCGGCTTCTGGTGATTGAGACTTAGAGATGTACTTTACATTTTCTCAGTCAAGATCATTTGCCAGAGCCTGTCAGCCCCTCTCTTGTTCTAAACAACACAAGCCTTCACCGTCAACTCTCGACACCTTCCAACCACGACATTTCTTCTCAAACGCTCTATCGTCGGTCCTGCGTGAAATCAATCACGCTTGTTAATACAAAGTCTCAACCCGTTCCGATGTATCATCATCATTGCCGCCCAGCGTTTGCTTCTTCCCGTCTACCAACACCGGATCCCTGCCTAAGATATGGCCAAGATGCGTTTGTCAAAATATAGGGGGGAAGTCATAGGTATAATATCTTGGGCAGATGATTGGAAACTCTGTCGTTATGCTTCTCTCCTGCATCATTCATCAGCATGGCGAATCACCTGCTTGAAGCGCAAGAAACGTTGTTGCCGACCTATGATGGGGATGCGACTGTTGTGCAGAAAAGAGGCGAGGCAGCGAAATCTCATGCTCCGGTGCCGTCATGCTCGACACCTGCCGAGCCAATTCCCACTGAACCAACTCCGGCTGCCCAGTTATCCAGCCAGCGAGAGGAAACCGTCGATCACCGAACCGACACCAACACCGAGGCGATCCTGACCGATCTCAAGCACCAAAATGTGGCGGTAGCCTCCATCCAGCCCATCGAGTTGCATTATCCCGCAAACACGGCGGCTGCTGCGCTCCCGTCAGCTGCTCTGGCAGGGGACGTAGATGAAGTAACCGTGGACTTGATGCATCTCGGTCCCAATACCACTGCTGCTCCTACCGATGAAGCCACACTTGCTAGTGTAAATGCAATCCCAGCTGCCTATGAAGGCACTGAATTCAAAGATCGTCTTCGCCCCCGTAAGCCGACAGTCGATCCCAAGCCGCAAGGAAAAACCAAGCGTAAAGCAGGTTCCAGCTCCACGGCTGCACCAGCCAACAAACGCCGCGCTCAGTCCACCTTAGCCCCGTCCAACTCAACTACAAAAGAAGATAAACTTGCCGAACTCGAAGCCCGCGAAAAAGAACTCGTGTCAGAAGTAGACGAGATCGCCGAACGGGTCAAAGACAAACTCTCCAAGAACATCCGCATGAAAGAGGAGCTTGCAGACAAGAGAAGCTACATTCAGCAAACTATTGATGACGCGGATACCGCCATTGCAGGCTTCCAGCGCGACATGGTTGGTATAAACAGGATCATGTTTGGGAGGCTTAATACACCTAATTATAATTTTGATGATAAGGTTGAAAGGTTGGAGAAGACAATTCTGCAGCAGCAGAAAGGGTTGACTGGGATTGAGAAGGAGATGGATAAGCATCGGAAGGATACTGCTAACTTGGTGGCACAGCATCGGCCTTTGTGGGACGAGCTGTGTGAGCTGAGGGCAGAGAAAAGGAAGTTTTGATATACAATAAACGTGTTAGAGGAGGAAGGGATGCAATCAATAGTTAACCAAACAGTAGTTTCTAGAGGACTGAAAGGCCTTTCTTTTTATGTTAATATCTACACATAAATACACACCTAGAGAAATGCGCCTTGACAGATTATTCTTTACTCCTGTCTCTTTAGTACTCCACCAATGCCCGGAACAGGGGACGAACATACCGATGTAAGGACAAGTCTAGGCGTGTCTTACCCGTAGGTTCACCCTCTAATCAAGAAATGACATATGAACTTTTGCTGACTACAAAAGGTTTTCGACAGATTCTCCAACGGATGCTGTAAGACGATCGCCGAGAGTACTTGAGCATGAGGACCAACGGTCGAGAAAGATGCCAGTCGGTGCATATTGTCAATGGTAAGAGAGACATAGAGGGCCACCATGAGGCGCATGCTGTGGAGGAGTGGCACTTAATTGTGGATTGTCAATTAATAGATTCCCTTGGGAAGAAGGTTCTGACAGACTTGCTGAAGTAGAGCCAATCCGCTCTTACAGTTTGAGAATGTCCTTTGAGGCAAACTGCTATCGGGCTATCCTGAAAGCCGTTATGGGAGGAGGCTTGGAAAGACTAATAGAAAAAGACTATCCGCCGGAATAGAAAAGGTTATAAGTAAGTGTTACTCCTCCTGGATGGTAGCTTTCTTGAGTAGCTTGATCTTCCAGGGCCTTGAGTTAGTTCTAGAGCTTTGAAGTGTCTACTTCCTCATCTTTTGCGGTGGACCGGTTGTTGCTGGAGTAGGAGTTTATATTAGATAAAGCGGAGTCGGTATGAATGGCCTTGAATGGCAGGACAACCTGGGTTGACCAAGTTCGATGGTGTTTTCTAATGGCTTATTTTGAAGTCGTTGTTGCTGGCAGATACATGCATAATACACCAAGTACCTTGAAGGCACCAAGTTGTAGCTCGAAGCGATAAAGGAGGTCTTGTTATCCACGGGAACGCTGGAGGCTGACAGGAACGAGTGAGACTGCACATACAAGATATATTCACCTTCAAAACCATTGCACGTCGAACCATAAAACCACAGATACAATGCCAGTTTATTTCCAGTCTCAGAGAAGGAAGGATAACCGCGCATATCACAGCCACCTTTCTTTGCAATCCGTCATAAGAAATTCTTCAATAGCTCCGGGATACTTACTCGTCGTCGTTCAGTGCCATTACCTGCATTTTCCATTCTTCTCAAATCTTAGTAGATCGCGGCTTCAGTATCACCAGGCATCCCAGTAGTTGCCTGCTTCATGCCAGGGCTCACACTATCTTGGGCATTATTCGTGGCTTTTAGAGGTCAGCAACATAATGCACCAGATATAAACCTTGGACATCCTACGGGAACTACATTATAAGTAAAAACGCCTATCTAGGGATACAGTAGTTACATGAACAGCTGAAGTCTCGCCGCCGTCCTAGCTGGCGATCTCCTCGAACCTGTGAATTATTAACAATATCATTCCATACTCGCAATGGCTTAACATACTTGAGTCCATGCATTTTGACCTCTTGGGCAACTTCCAGCGATCTCGGATCCTGGAATTCAATGGTGTTTGGTAGGGGAGAAATTTTACCCCGGGGATGAAGTTGCTGAAGCTCGGCAGCGACGAAGGACCTCCGGTAGACGGAATAAAACTGCTTGAACTTGACGGTAACATAACCTATACAATTCTCAGGTAGATGTAGTCAGAGCTTAAAAGTGGTACAAGACCCAGGCCTTGAGCTCTTGTCCATTCCAATACCTCAAAGACAGAGAGAGAACCGTTATAGTCGCTCAATTTATCCGAGGAAGAAAGGTGATGCTTACCATAACTCTAGAGCGCAAAAGGCCACTCATATAGCTAACGCATACATAGTGCTTCTCCGGCAATAAACGCACCCTTCAGCCCTATATTAGCAATGCATTATTACGTGATACAACAGGGATATCGACCTGGTGGCTGTGCTTATTCGCTCTAACAAGTATTTGTTGGATCAATCATGGCATTCTGCAACGCATCGATTTCGGTGTTTAACCTTGAACCAGATCCATGCAGCGTTAATATTAGAACTTTAAAATCGTTTACTAAACGGTACACGTAAGGAAATCTCGCACAATGTGACATCCGCCGAATTGGATCCATTCGCGGGGACAAGACTTGAACAACGGATCAATTCGGCGCTAGTCCAGGGAAATGTCTTTCCACTCTTGCTAGCAGACTGACTTAATAGCATGGTTATGTATGCCGCTGAGACCAGCTAGAATAATGAATCTTATATGGCTTTGAAATTGGATAGCAAAGAATCATACTACATGAGAGGATCCAGAAATCTGAACTCAAGTCAGATCCTTCGCCGGAGTCTACCATGTCAGTCAAGACTAGCCCTGAATGTCCTCTATCTGAATTCGAGTAGCGCTATTGCTTGTATTGGTAAGTAGCTAGGTGGCTGGGGATAAGTTAGTCGTCGACTGACTGCTATATGACCTACCTGTTCTCATTCTTGAGAACGAAATCGCCAGGCCATTTGCAAACGCCGCTGATGACTGCCGTTGGCGGTAAGAACGGGCTTGGTTTCAGTTAAGTTGCTATGGAGGGCCGAAGCTTGGAATTCATTGCCTCAAGCCCCCGTAACATAGACTACGCTCCTGATTGAGTTTCGATAGTCGGTTTCCAGTTGGCATAGCACAGCCATAATATACTGAGATTTGGTTTCAGTAACCTGAAGGGCTGTGAGTTGACAGTAGGTATGCCCTAGGATATGGTACTCTTAACGTTGATGAAGTGTTATGTTTCGATTGGCTCCGCTGGCTGTAGCGCTCATGCGGCCAAGAATATTCAAGAGCATAACTATAGAGGTGATAACATGTTGAGAAGGAACGAGGAGTGCCGGAGGGAGTGAATCGCGAGTTCGACCCATCACGCCGGGGTTTTTGCCTTGTCCCAGAGTCCAGTAGTTCTGTCACTACAAACAATGGCCTTAAGTTGAGATTTAACTCCACGATGTAAACCAAGTCATTGATTTCCGAGACATCATCTCTTTTGGATATTCTGAGCAATGCAGGCTTGGAGGGTGTGCTCAACCAAGTTGGGCGAGTATTAAACCAGGTCAGTAAGTTCAGGCTGAAAAGAGTCATGAGTATAGTCAAAATGTAATGAAATGCGGTTTAAAATTATATTGGCAGTGAACAGTTTTATTAGAGTAGATAAGCTTGAGCATCGGGTACAGGATGGGCAAGTTTCCGCTGCGTCTTTTAGCTGTCGGTTCTGGTCTAACTGGCTGTATCTATCCCGGTTTTACTTGCGATACCTGACGCATCTTAGGTCTCAAGGCTACTGGTGTTTCCACTGATGAGCGGCAATTATCACTTCAACTGCCGAACCGGGACTAGACATCGTCAGATTAACTTATTGAATTATATGGGCCAAAACGACATATGTAACCCTTACGCTAGACTGTTAGGCCTCTCGCCCGGCCCTTGCGCTTTCCCCGCTGATGATGCCATCAAGTCTGCCATCTTCGATCACTACACCAAGAACCCCAATGCCAAGGTCAGCAACCTCAGCGGCACTGGCATCCAGCCCCCTCTGCCTCTCCCCTTTCCCGAGAACGCCGTGCAATGCAAACCGCGTCACTGGTGATGTACAGGGCCGGGACCTCATATTTTGCACTGCCTTTCGTCATATATGACAGGTAGTGGAGTTGTTTGGGCTTATGATTAAAGTGGAAGGGTGCAAAGGTCCATGTAATACGTGGGCACAGGGCTAACCTGGGCTGTGATGCCGATAGCGGTAATGGTGCTAAGTGGGACGACCCTTGGGCAAGCTTGCGGTTTAAAAACAGAGGCCTGAATAGTCTATGGGAGCGCTTACATGAAGCATGATTGCTTTCAGCTATCGTGCTTTCAAGGCACTGAAAGGTATAGGAACCTCCAGTCTCTGCAATACCGGTTACCGGAAGCTCGATTCAGTTGGGTGTAATTGAATTCGACCAAATAGGCGTTTAATACCAAGAGTGCTTGTTGATAGCAAATTTGTGCTTTCTTTATCTGGGACTTGGCCAGAGTTACATTTTCATCGGTATGTGAGAACAGTCACCGACAGCAAAATCTGTCTTAGAGGAAGTAATGACATCGATACCAATGAGCTCTACTATCAATCCGAAGCGGTAAAGCTATGTTGTGGAGCTAAAGATGCAATTTAGCAACAAGTTTCTTCGCGGCAGTCAGTAACAACGCTCGACGCGAGGTCAAGGTTCCCGAATTTCGACGCTTTGCGTTTCCGACTCTCGGGACACCCGTGTCTTGCCAGGTGCTAAACGGATTTTAGACGCCTACTTCAATCCCAGAGGCATGCAAGCATTGGCAGGGATAAAGGAGCCAAGGACTGTATGTTTCCCCAGATAATGCTCCAACATCCGTATTGAGAGAACTTATCCCTTCATTCGCAACAGTGAAGAGACCTCCACAGATGAAGAGTTTACTGGCGATGTCATCGTCCGAGAACTCTGCCCTGCTTCTCTTGAAACCGTTACGGTTGTTGATCGAGCCAAACGCCGAGAGGTGGCTTTCAGAGAAGGTATCACTTTGGGCATTATAAGTTGAATCAAATGTGTCTTTCTTCCTCTTACCCCAATAGATGAATCAAAGTGATAGTTTGAGATCTCTATCAGGATATATACACCGAATACAGCCGGTTCTGCTCTAATCGTGGCATTTTACGCAACGGCACGCCAGCCGGCGGGAACCTCGCCCCCACTACTTGCACATCAACGTATTGATCTTTTGTGTACTTAAACAATCGGTGAAGTTGGATAGAGTGTGAGGAGGTACGAAGAGGGTTAACCTTATGATGAAGTGGCGTGAACAGATAGGTTTAGGTGTCTCATGCAACCATGAAAGAAACTGTCAGTATTCCACGCCCCCGTGCAAGGCTATATAGGCTGAGTATTAACAATACCTTGTTTCTCTAGCGTCTTACTTCCCACTTAACAGAGAGTGCACAGACCTGGGTAAGGCCAGGAAAAGATGGCCATTTACAAAACGGGGATAGTTAACTGCTCCTATCGTCAGTTGCACAGTGATGAACGTGGATAACGATGAAGTAGGTTCGGCTTATACTATACAGCGATTCTTTCCTGTATACTGTGGTTGAAGACGGTTGTTTTATACATTTCATAATGTCTTTGGCGAAGGCTCGCTGTTGTACCGGACCTCTCTACTGCCGATGAAATGAAATTGAAGTGTCTATTCCCGAAAGCTGGATTAACCGGGCCAGTGATATGCGTCAAGGAAGAAAAACATTGTTTCTTAAACTAGGCTTGTTGCCTAGACACCAGGGCCAATTTTGGCGAGGTGGGCTCCTTGTTGGGGTTGCTTAAATGTCCAAGTAAACTAGAGCAAGAGACAGTGGCGATTGCTACAGGAGGCTGATGTCAGTAGAGTTAAGCCATCTGCAAACGAGTCATCTACCAGCCCTGGTGCCTTAAGCTGAACTTCGGGATAGCTATTGTGATCCCAGATTTAGTTTCAGAGTGCAACTGAGCTCAAGAGTTACAAAGGAAATAAATACTGGTGTTCAATGGTGGTGGTTGATAGTTGATTCTGGAAACGGCTGTAGATAGAAGCCTCTTTGTGCTGGAAATTGGCGCCTCCCCTGGAAGTGTCAGATACAAGTGTGCACTTTTATCGTGATGTTCGGATTTTTGCGGCCTTTCCAACAGAGCTCACTCCAGAAATCCCGATCAAGTAGCCTGGCTACTATATGATTGCCATTTTTACCTGTCGCTGTCTGAAATTGTATCGGTTTGTTACTCTGGTTTCTGGAACTGGATGAGGTTGGCTGCTTCGGGAATCTATACTAATTTATAGTCCCTTGTAGTATGGCCAGCTCTGTATAGTACCTTGATTATATCATTCAAAGATTAGAAATTATCTTCACGAAGTCGGAGAACCATCTTAGTGTCCCTTAGTTCCACGCTTCGTAAGTAATGGCCTTCTTGAGAGTTTGGTCTAATTGTTATGATAAAACCCGGCGAGGTTTCGCCATATGACCCCGAAGAGAGCTCTGTCGTGGCACATTCTGTGAATTCACAGATAACGGAATCTGTGTCGCGGAACTCAGGGATGTGTATCCTCGTGGCTTGGCTAGCAGACTGAGGTGGCCGCGCAACCGCACTTGAACTCCGAAATCTTCAACTAAGAATAGTCTACGGGCTTCAAACTTCTATTTGCATGGGTTCAGCCAAACTTAATCTTATGACACCTATCCTTGCACTTACATGAGCATCTTGACCGAAAGTGTCTTTGATACTAGCGCTGAGCTGTCTTACGTCTGTTGCCTGCGCCTTGAGCAATACCCTCAAAAGTATGGCTGGTCTCCCTATGCCTAATAATTATGCCAGGTTTGTGAATGACAGAATCCTCACTTGACAGACTTGAGAGTAGGTGTGGTTTTATATACTGAGCTGCTTTCATTATCAAGGCTGGCCAATGGGTTGAGCTTGAGCTTGAATGACGTGGTGTTCCAGTCCGGGACAAGTCTGGCCGGATTATTATGTATTTACTCGCTAATTTCCTGTGGTTTTGAAGCCTGTGCGCTGTGGCCTACGTGAAGGATAGACTCCAACTCCCGGAGAATAACATTGCCTGGCTTTCAGGAGTTCGGAATAGCATCTCTTGGAGCTCAGTCTTAGGGCTGAATCACTTCTTACGATATGTCAGAAGCATCAAGTACCCTTGACTTCCGCTAACGTTCCTTTAATCTCCCAAGGCAAACTCGCTAACAGTCAGGCTTTCTTAGCACCTCAGGCTCGACAAGCCACTTGAAACCCAAAGACTTGGACTCCGAGTAACGGAATTAAAACCGGTGTAACTCCAGGTACTCTCGCTTATGGAATCTTGACGACTTTCCGTTTTGGTAATAATGAGCGGAGATTGGTCCCACACGTGACATGCGCGAGTACTCAGGTCCGTTACTTGAATGCCAGTGCGATTCGGCTGTAGCTCACTTCCCATATCAAGAAGGCGTCATGTCAACTCTGAGGCGATGAAAATGAAGACTTGAAGCGAGAGGGTACTGTGAAATGTAAGATGTTGTGGGGTGTACCGAGCACTTGAAACTCAGGCTTGTATATCAGCTTGGTTTGGACATCAAGGTTAGGTTGAGCTTGGAGAACTGATTGGTGCTCTGTGTGGTGATTCAACTGAGAAGTTAATGATTGCAACAAGCTTTTCAGGATGTCTTTAAACGGACATGAAATGGCAGCCTTGAAGGAGTATTATAGCGAAAATGAAAAGGAAAATGAGTGCTATTTGGGTCTGTCATGAATCTTGGCATTGATACTATATTAGTGTCGAAATAGTGTATTTGGTTGCGTGGTGAGCGCCAGCAGACAACGGGTCATATATTCTTTGACCTCTTCACGACATCAATACGAAAGCCCCAAAGGAAGAGAAGTCCATAGACTCGGCCGTGGATAAGAAGGACTCAAGTCGTTTCGCTCGTGGAGACAATGCCTGATCCATTGTAAATAACTAAACACTGCGAAACCCTGCACTAAAGGGGCAGACCTATCGTCCCATCCCATTCCATCCTTTCAACACCAAAACCATACATCTACTCACCCCTCCTCGACTCCTGTACCAATAACAAAGAAGCAGCCAAACTAGCATTTGCCAATTCCTTGAAAACATCACGAGCCTCACGTAGCTCCGCTCTCGCAGTATCTAGCTGCTCTTGAAGAGCCGCAATTTCATCAGCACTACTTTGTGGATCGCAGCCAGTAAGGCTCTCCACAGCACGATAGGCGGCAAGTAGGTTGTTTGCACGGCTAGCCTCTTCTTCAGACTGCCAGAAAGATCCGGGGGTGCCGAATCGTTGTGCTTTGTTTAGTGCTTCTTCCATCTCTGCGAGGGCTGTCGGGACCGTGTTGAATACAGCGTTTCTCTGGATGAGAGGGTCAAGGCGAGTTGATAGGGCGTCAATCTCAATCTCAAGCTGGGCGATACGTTCTCGGACCTGGGGAATCGCTCGGAGGGTTTGCGGTGGAGTACGTTTGGTGGCACCAAGATCAACACTTGGCGTGGAAGCTGTTTCTGGAACCTGGACCCCGAGATACTCCATGGGTATATGCGTGGTAGAAGCAACTGGCTGATGCTGTCCCTTTCTGAAAGTCACATTCCTGGTGGTGGAAGTACCTGGCTCATGCCGTGGATCGAGAACCATGTCAAGAAGCTTCTGTCTTGTAGGTGATGGGTCCAGCGATGTAGGAAACCGAAGCTTGTTGAGTAGAAAGCCGAGAAAGCAGGCAACAAACACACCGCAGTTGACTGGATCCTGTTGTTGAGGACAAGCCTATCAAGAAGACTGGTCAGCATACGGAAACGAGACCGATATGAGTGTCAACTTACCATGCGTACAAGGCGGAGAGAATCAACGTCAAGCATGCTCTCAAAACAGCCCTGAATACGACTCTCACGTTGTCTGCTATGCAAACTGTCATAATGCTCGACGTAAGCTTGCTCCGGGCGCAACACAGCAAGGCTCCAATGTCTACCTTGGCTCTGGTGGTGAAGGGGGATGTAGATGACCTCGTTTGACTCGCAGACTCTGGTGAAACCGACGGGAGGTTGGTGGGACTCTTGGTTGTTGTCGACTTGGACGTACAAAGGGTCGAGGACTTTTGCACCTGGAGTTTTGCTGGTGCGGGTGATGTACTGTAATAGTAGGTTCAACACGTCGTCTGTTAGCTGTGCAGTGGGATCTTGAAGTTGCTGTTGAGCTAGTTGTGAAGTAGTTTGGCTGGTTTCTAGTTTATCGACAGAGGCATCATCGTCGATAATGGATGAAGGATAAGATTGATCGCGGTGGATTGGTGAGATTGAATGGCGGGGCTGAGAAGATAAATCATCATCCGTAAACAATTGTTAGTGAGTAAGTGATAGTCAAGCAAGTCAGTGCACATACCAGGAAGAGCGACGTAACAATCATCATCAGGGCTATGAATCTCTTGCTCGGGCGAAAACAGACTGTTGCGATGGTCGAGAGCTGGTGTACGTGCACGACGGCCAATCTCAACAGAAGGAGAACGTTCGGTGGCGGTGTACTTGGGACGTTTGGTAGCACGATCCTGCTCTGACTCTGACATTGGATCATCGTTCTCGTCGTCACTGGCGTCAAGTTCAGGAATCTCCAAGTTTCCAAGGCGCAACTTGAATGCACGAAGAGCTGCAGCAGCTTTATCCTTGGTGAGAATATGCTCACCATACATAAACGCCGCATCGTGAAGTTCACCGCCAGGTTGCCAAAGGTCAGACAAGGTAAACTGATGCTTTACCGCCAACTTGGTCATAGTTGTAAGCGGCGCCGTAGTACTAATTGAAATGGTCTCCGTGATGCGCGGCATGTATATCGGATTCGCCCAGTTCTGACGACCGCCCCAAGTCTTGTCGAGATAAGCCATTTGTTCATCTCGTCGGTCTGCGCGACGAAGGTTTGCTTTGTGATCTCGTGCTTGGTTTTGTATGCCTTTGATCTTGGGAATTTGCTTGACAAGGCCATCAAGGACTTGGAGACGTTCGGCCGAGGGGAGTTGTTGGAGGTTGCGCTTGACGATGTGCATCGTGGTGATACCTTTTGTCGCGTCGGGGGAGTCGTCGACGACACGTCCGATGTAGTTTTTCACCTTTGAAAATTGTGTCAGCGGGCTTGGTACGGGAATTTTGAGTGAGTCGCATGCTCACATGGGCCTTTCCAAGATCGCCATCGCCATCGCCATCGGGACGCTCGTTATTGACTGACGCGTTGATCAAGGGCGCAGACAGGGCACGAGGCGTGCGAGGCGCCATGATGGAGAATTATTCATAGTGAATCCTGCCAATATCGGCTTGCGTTGGTGTCGCGTCGCGTCGCTTGTGCACAAGACGTCGACGTTGATGTTGATGATGAGTTGGGACGTGACGGTGAGAAATTGGGGGACATGACGTAAGGGTTAATCTTTTCTGTTGACACCCTTACGTCATTTTCTGTAGCGACAGCACAGCCATTAAAGCCTCGCTGACTTAAGCACCAGCCACTATAGCCGCAGTAGGTAATGCCTAAAAGGGAATAGAGCAATTTATTTTCTATTTATTTATTAACTTATCTCTTTAAGCGGCATAAGACTACCACAAGTCGCTTACCCTGCTTTTTTACAGGTATGGAGGAAGGCCTATAAAGGTATTAATTTTAATAGTTATTTTTACTCCCTTTAATAGCGCCTTTAGTATTATTACTAAAGCCTAAGTTATAATATTAATTAATATAGCTATAAGATAAAAAAAAGAAAAAAAAGAAAAAATCGCTTATAGGGAAGTCTTATATAAATATAGTAGGGTAATATTAATAGACTTTATAGGGGTTGTTTTCTTAGTAGCTTAGCAGGCAAGGACTTTTTGGCCCTTCCTTTATACCTGCAAGGTATATAAAGTTCCTATTAAATAGCTTTTTCTTTTAATATTATTAAAATTATTAAAATCCTTAAATAAATTAACCTTAATAAGTCTTAAGTAAATTAATAAGCTTTTAAAAAATATATAATTTAATAAATAATTATAATATAAATAGCTTGCCTTTTAAAGTAGTTATTAATAACCTTATTAATATACTTTATATTTTACTTAAAAAAGGCTATAATAATAATTTTTAATCTTTTAATATAAAATATTATAATTTTTAAATTAACTTTCTGCCTTAATAATTACTTAAATTATTTTAGTTTTTTATATTTATTATATTTATATAATTATAAATTTAATATATTAAAAACTAGGCGTTTTTTTAAATTAATAATAATATTAAAAATAAGTAAAATACTTCCTTTTTTAAATACTTATATTTATATACTTAAAAAGGTATTTTTATTATAATAGCTTATATATAGCTTAATATTCCCTTATTTAGACTACTGCCTTTTTACTAATTTTACTTTATCTATTCTTATATATAAGGTTAATTAGTTATATGCCTTACTATATGCATTTAATTAATTAAGTTATAACTTCAGGTCGATTTAACTTTCACCAACTAACTTATATAAAGTAACAGACTTAATACAATTCCTTCAAATTTCTGAACCCCGCCTTTACCCCGCGTTTATCCAACTCTATATACAGACTCCCCCTACGCTCTCATGGTCCAAGACCATGGCCAGGCTATTACCAATTCCAGAGCAGCTCTCCGGCAACGTCAGCTGCCCTTATAGATACACTAAGAAGCCACTCTTTATATATAGCTAAGCTTATAAAGGCAGTAAAGAAAGCTGCCTTATCTAATTAAAGAGGATAACCTTTCCTTAAGGCTATTTTTAAGTCTTTAAGACCTAATAGCTTATTATTAACTTAATTTAAATTAATTAAATTAATATAATGCCTCTTTTTTATATAACTAATTAACTAGATTAAGTTATAATTAAAAATAGCTATTTTAATAAGGTTAAATTTACTTCTTACTAAGAAGTTTTTTATAATAATAATAATTATTATATATATTATATAAAGTTTTTCTTTATTAGCTACCTTTAAGGCAGGCTTAATAATTAAATTAAAATTATAATTAGTTATATAATAGATATAATTATATAGCTATAAGCTATTTTATATAAGTATTAAGGCAGTATAGCTATTATATTATTAGTAAAAAGGGTTAAAAGTTAGGTTAAATAATATATTTTATAATAAATAAATTAAGTATAATATATTATAAGGGTTAATTAAGATATAGTCCTTTAAATAAATTAAAGGAAAAAGGTTAATTTAGTTATTAAAATATAATTAATATTAGTATTACTTAATTAAGGTAGTAATTATATTATTAAGGCAGATAAACCTTATCTAATTCTGACTTTTATAATAATAGCTTGCTATAGGGGTCTTACTATTTAAACTATTAATAAAAAGATAAAAAGCTTAATAGCCTTATATAAGGCTAAAGGTAAGGGGGAAAAAAATAGCTTAATATTATTATTTACTTAAGAATTTATAAAGAAATATTCCTTAAAGACTATTAAAAGGCTTTTAGCCTAGGAAATTAATACCTTTTTTATTTATTTATAAAGTTTATATTATTATAAAAATTTAAGTTAAGTATAGTATTTTTATACTTTTAATTATATTAATTTTAATATAAGTAATAAGAGGGAATTTTTAAAAACCTTTTAAGTAATTATAAAGTAATTTAATTATATATTATAATAGTTAAATCTAATTATATTAAACTAAGCCATATTAGGTTTATTATTAATAAATAGTATAAGGTATATAATAAATATTATTAAAGTATTATATTTCTTAATAATAAATTTAATATATATTAGGCTTAATTAATATAAAGAAGTTATATTAATAAATAGTAAGTTAAGTTTTATTTGCTATTAAATAAATATATTTATATAATATATAGCTTATAATACTTTAAGTCTAGCTTATAGTAAGTTATAAGTTTATAATATAAGCTAAATTATAAGGCTTATAAAATATTTTAAAGTAAAGTATAAGTTATTATATAATTAATAAAAATAAGATAGGGTATATATAAGATAAGTGCTATATTTTAATTAAGTTATAATATAATCTCCTTCTTTTTATTAGTCTTGCCTTTAAGACCTATATATCTGCTTTCTTTTTATATTATCTTAATATATACTAACTTAAACCTATATTTATTTATATAAATTATTAATATTATATTAAAGTTTAAGACTATTTATATTTATTAAGTATAAGTAATTTTAATTATAAATACTAATTTTTTTATTATATTTTATAATTATTATAAACCTTAGAGCTTAAAATATTAAATTAAGGAAGGTTATTTTAAGTATATTTAATATACTTATTATAATTAAAAGTATAATAATAAGGATATCTTAATTCTAAAAGGTTTATAATATTATATATTTTTTCTTTTTCTTTTTAACTTAATTTTAATAGTTATTTATTTTATAATATAAAGGTATTATTTAAAGTATAAAAAGGAGGTTATTAAAATTAAATTATTATAATTATAATATTAAGTAAATAAGTATTTAAGTTATTTAATATAACTTTATTATTAAAAGAATTAATTATAAAAGTATAATAATAAAATACTTTATTTATAATAGAAAGGGTTTTAAACAGGTAAACTAGTCTATACTAGGTTTAATATTTACAGAGTTATAAGGCATTATACTAAGCAGTTATAAAGTATTATATCTCTTAATAGTAAATAGAGCAGGTTAGGCATATTTAGGTAAAGAAGTCTTATTAATAGCTAGTAGGCTAAGTTTTATAAAAGTGCTAATAAATATAATTTATATATTAGTAAATAATAATAGTAATTAGTAAGGTTATTATAGGATTAGTAGTAATTATATTAAATTAGTATTAATTATAATAGATTATTTATAATCTTAAAGTCTTAATACTAATCCCTTTTAGTATAGGTATAATAATTAGTAGAAAATATAGGGTATATATAATAGAACTGCTAGGGTTATAATATAATCTCTCCCCTCTATTAGGCCTTATCCTCAAGGCCTAGTTAATATATTTTCTATTAGTTATTCCTTAGTAAGTTTAATCTTAATCTTATAATCCCTTTAAGATATCTAACTGCATAGCAAAGGCTAAGAAAACCTTTATTAAAAATTATAAATCTCTCTATATTCTTATTGCGGCATTTAGAATCCCATTATGCCTTATTCTAACTATATTTATTAAAAGATAAAGGATTTATATATCTTTAATCCTATAAAATTAAATTACTATAATCTATATATTAAGTTAAGAATATCTTATAATAATTATAGCCTTTTTATAATAATAGGTATATTTTATTTCTTTATAAAACTATTTTTATAAGTTTTACTAATATAATATTAATTAAGAAAATTATTAATAAAAAGTATTATTTAAAATAAAAAAAAGAGGCTACTAAAGATAAACTAATTACTTTTTAAGCAGAATTTACTTATATTTATAATATAATAAATACTTAATTTACTAAAATTACTTATTTAAGGCGCTAGTATTATTAAGTAAAGGTAAAGGGCCTAGATATAATCTAATACAGTTTTAACTCTATAAATAAACTTAAAAAGGTAAAATAAGATAAGTAAGTAGCTTTAGAAGGTATTATAATTAATAGATCTTTTTATAATTAATTTATTATTACTAAATAATTTAAGTAAGATTTATTAGGTTTTAGTGCCTTCCTTAATCTTTCTAGTTTTAGTAGAAATTCTTTAGGAGTTATTAGGTATTAGTAAGGTATTTAGATAGTTTTTATATATTTTTATTTTCTAAGTAGTTCTTTTATTTAATAAGATATTTTATTTATTTATTAATTCTCCTTATATTTCTAATTACTTTTACTTTATAGACTTTTAGTCCTTTAATTTCTTTTAGTTTATTATTAGTTTTAACTTATATTATATTAGCTGCTAATTTAAGTAATATAATATAAAAGATTAGATAGAGCTTAACTTTTAGTAGTAAGTCTAGTTTATAATTATTTTTTAAGATTTTTCTTTTAACTTTATATAGCCTAATATACTTATAGTCTAATTTATAATTTAGTTATTTTATTATAATGTTTTTTATAGCTAAGTAAACTATATCTTCCTTTAAGAAAGTTAATCTCTTAATCCTTTTTATATTATAGTATTTTTTATTTATTTTCTAATAAATTTTAATTTTTTCCTTAATTCCTTATATAAAGCTTTTAAGTCTTTGCTCTTAATTATAATAGCTAGGTTAACTGTTTTTAGTTCTTGCGCTATATAGTATAGGTCTAAGGTAAATCTAAAATTTACTACTAAAGGTGTTATTTCTATGCTTTTATTATATGCTATATTATAGGCAAGTTAGGCGCTTAGTAGTTTTTCTATCTAATTATTTTATTTATAATTAATATAGTATTATAAGTATTATTCTAGT